GCTCGACAGGTACACACACTCAACAGATATTTCTGGAATGAACGAGTCAATGACTGAAATCCAAGTTAGACATTTACAGAGATAAATTTAGTTTAATAAGATAGAGGTCTCCTTATATCATTTCTTTTAAAGTTTAGTGCAGATAGGGGAGGCATCCATTTTAAGGAAACTCAAAAGGGTAATAACAACAGAAGCCTAGAGAAAAGTTCTCTTCCCAGACACTTTATCATATATGACCTCATTTAATTATTTTTCTTGTCACAAAGGTTAGCTTTATTCTCATCTTTAAAACTATATATATATATATATATGAGACTCAATATCACAGTCAAAGAAAAGAAAAGAAAAACTTGGCTGGGCACAATAGGGTATGGATACACACACACCTGGTGTGATCTTCAAGCTGCCAGGTCCAGAACTTGAACTATGCTTGGCCATGTGGGAGTCCAGCATCTTAATCACCATGCCACCTGCTGGCAACCTCCAGTTCCTTTTTTAAGCATTTGGTTCATTCAGGAATTGCCTTCCACGTAGCTTGATGACCCAAAATGCTTGGGGCCATGAGGTGGTGCAGCCATATAACACAACATTGTGAAACTAACCCACATGGAGAGGTTCCAGGTTCATGTCTGGAGACCTCCCTGGGAACACTTGGCTCGTACTTGCCCATGATCTGGGGCTTGTGAAACCTGGGTATGGACCGCAGTGTCAAGACTATGAGTACACACTCTGTCTTTCTGTCTCTCTCAGAAGAAATAAACTTTAAGAAAAGAAGAAAGAAACTTAGAAAGGAAAAAAAAAAAAAATGCCTGCCTTTTCTGCTCCCAGAGCACACCTGTATGTCTCTTCTTGGATGTTTTGTCTTAGAAGGAATGGCGGCCTATAATTGACCCCTCTGTGATGGTTCACCTTCTGCTGGGACCGCGGGGTAAGGCAGTGGAGGGAAATGCTGAGAGAGGACATTCATCCCTTTCGGTTTTCCTTTTAAGATGTTTTTGAACAACAATGTTAAAGCACCTATAATGGTGCTGTGAATTGTTAACAAGCATGTTTGCACATCACATCTATCATGCTATTTGCACGATGTTATGTGAAGAAACAGCTCAAAGTATTTTTAAGATATGGCCTTTTATCTCTGGAAGCACAAGGAAGTATTTGCAGATTGGTCTCTGGAATAAAATTAGCCAGGCACGATGGCTAGTTCCTGTAAAGTGTGGGCATTTCTGTAAATGGTTCTGAGTCCCTTAATCCTTTTGATCATTTGCACTGTGTATTTTTACACCGGTTCTTTTACATTGGAGAAATAAAGTAAAGAGACTTAAAGGTGAGTTTGGCAAGGGCATCTCTGTGCTGTTTGTCAATGCAAATGGATCTTGAATTTGAATGGTAGTAGTTTCTCTTAAACAACCACGCTCTTTTAAACCTCTCTGCAAATAATGTCAGTGGCAGATTATGTCTGAGAGTGTTTGCTGGTCAGGAAATCTTCCCTGACCCCATATTGCTGCCACAGAAGAAGAATCTAATACTGTAAAATATTCTTGACAGCTTGGATGCCAATTACTGTACAGCTGCGATTTCTCACCTGGGCCACTCTCCGCGTGACACTTGCCCTCATTTGGTGACTTTGGGTTTCCACATTCAGAAGCCTGGTTTGGGATCATAGAATGAATCCCAGCTTCATCTCTGATTGAACCACGGTTGGTTTGTGACTAGATCCTGCCTCTTAACTAGCTGTGGGATGTCGTGTGAGAAAACTTGTGGAGAGACAAGTTTTCTGATCTGTAAAATGGGGACCACGTCTTTCTTGCAAAATTGTTGTGAGCAGTATTTGTACACCCATATTGATAGCAGCGTATTCATAGTAGCTAAAAGGTGAAGAGAACCCAGTGTTCGTTAATGGGTGAATGGGTTAGCAGAGTGTGTGCATGTGCGGGCCCACACACAAAACAGAATATCATTCATCTTGAAAAAGAAAGGAAACTGACATGCCACAGTGTTGATGAACCTAGAAGACAGTACACCAAGTAAAATTAGACAGTCACAAAAAGACAAGCACTGTGAGTCCACTTACGTGAGGTACCTAGAGTAGTCAGATTCACTGAGGTGGAAAGCAGGCTGGTGGTAGCTAGGGGCTGAGCAGAGGGGAGGTTAGTGTTTAATGAGTTCAGCGCTTCAGTTCTACAGATGAAAAGCATTCTAGAGAGGAACAGTGGTGATGGTTGCTGAACAATATGAATGCACTTAATACCACTGAAATGTACACTTTTAAGATGGTAAATTTTATGTTAGGTATATTTTATCACAATAGAAAAAATAGGAAAAAATTGTTGGGAGCATTAAATGGTGTCAGGTAGGTAAAATGCTTGCCATATGGTCTGTATTCTGTAAATAGTAGCTAATAGCGTCTGCTCTGGCTAGGACATGGTATTTTGATGGTTGCATAATAGCTCATCATGTGGTTAGACCATAATTTCTTTTTCGTCCGACTTTTGTATTTCTTACAGAACTCTATCATTAGAATAATGATGGAGTGAGTTTTCTGTACATGTGTATATATTTCCCATTATTTGGGGTTATGCCTTTAAGATGGATTTCCTGGATCACTTAATCAAGGAGAATGAGCATCTTTGTGGTTCTCGCTTACATATGTCAATGGGGTTTCCAGAAGGATTTAGTAATTTTACCCTGTCACTAGCCAAGTAAGGGCACCCATTTCTTTGTGTCGTTAACTGCGCTAAGATGCTTTTAAGCAATTTTACAATGTGTAATAAATGAGAAATGGTATTTGCTTTTATCACTAAAAATGCTGAGCATTTTGCTTGTCTTGGTTTGCACTTGTTCTTTCCTATCTTTCCTATGTGAATAGCCTGTTTGCATTTTTTGTTTATACTGTCGGCCCTCCATATATGTGGATTCCACCTCTGTGTGTTAAGCCAACCACAGATTGAACGTATTTGGGAAAAAAAAGAAAAAACAAAACAAAACAAAACTGGTTGCCGCTGTACCAAACGTGTAGAGACTTTTTTCTTTATCATTAGTTTCTGAACAATGTATTAATAGTGTAACAACTGTTTTCATAGCATTTTCATTGTTTTAGGTAGGATAAGTAATCTAGACATGACTTCAAGTATACTGGACAATGTGCGTAGGTTAAATATAATTACAATACCATTTTAGGTAAGGCATGTGAGCATCTTCAGATTTTGGTTACTGTGGGGAGAAGGTCCTGAAACCAATCCCTTGTGGGTACTGAACAACGACTATATTTCTAGTGTGATTTCAATGCTTTCATAACAAATTATATCTGTCCTTTATTAATACTCAGAGAATTTTAGTGCTTATGTGGTTAAATGACTTGCTTATATATTTTGAATTAGAAAATATTAAGATTTTAAAGTAGATCAAAAGTGGTTTTTACAATAATGATTGTTATTCTTACTGCATCTTTTCTGTCTGTTAGCATAAAACCTGGTTAGATGCTAACTTTAATGACTATAGTATTTCAACTAAAATGCACAGATTGACCAATTAATAAACCAATATATAACAACCAATTAATACCAATATAAAAAGGACATGCCAAAAACTAGGGCAAAGAAGAAATTAGAATTACTAATAAACATGAAATTTATTTTTTACTTCATTAATAATTAAATTCATTCAAAATAAAATAATAGAACATTATTTTCTGGGTATAATTCCTGCAGTTTAAAAATGTATTAGTGACTGAGACTGCTCCTCAATATGCTGCCAATGGGGAGAGAAAATTGGGTCAACTTTACTGAAAATCACTTTGGCATGAGGCATCAAGAAAATTTAAAATGTTTATAAATGTTCATTTACAAATTCTTCTTATATAACTGTGGGTTAAGGAGCCTCAGAAGTGTGGAAAAATATTTACATTCATAGACAAAAATAGGATTCAGTTTTAATGCCCAATGACAGGGAATGACCGAATTAGCAATCAGACAACCAGCTGATGGAGTATTTTGTAGTTGTCATAAACGGTGTTTTCTAAAAACTTCAGTGACATAGGGAAACACTTCTAATACACTGGTAAGGGGGAAAATCATGCAGGAGTGATTACAGTGGAACAAACTGTCACAGAAGCTGAAGGCAAAGACCAGATCTCTCTCTGGGCAAGGCCAAATTCTTTCTTGTACATAAGGTGACCAAAAAGAGATGGGAAGCAAATTTCAATATAGAGATGGTGTTAATGTGGCATCTGTAATTAGTGTGTTCTAGAATTGTAAGATAAGAGAGGGTATGGATTCCATAGGTTTAAGTGGTACCGCAAATATGTACTTGCCTGAATCACTGAACTTCCGGGACTTGGAGGACGGGCCTGCTTAACATGGGGCCTGCAAGGAGACAGAGTCTACAGTTGTTGTTTAGCACAGAGATGAATTAGGTTGAGAAAGCACTTACCACCCCACCGGGTATTTGACTCCGACCCTTGTCTTGGTGTTAACAGCATAGTAAATATGTTCCTCAGATAACTAATTTACCTAATGTGAACAAGTTATAAGCCCATTTCATACAGACATCTCTGGCACCATCTTACTCTGTAGCACTGTTGAGGTTCCTACAGATAGCATCAGATGACAATAGAAATAAATGTATGTGTTTCCCTTTGCAGAGTTTCAAATCGTGAACACTATGTCAGGTTGATCCATACGTTTTCATAAGATTGAGATGAGAAAAATGAAAACCCAAATTATAGTCTCATAAACTTAAATATTAATATATACATACACCCAGTGAAGACGTAAGCATCCCAGGAAGCTTGCTAGAAGGTAGCTGTGTGCTTTTGTGAGAAAAGAAACAGCAACAGAGCTTCAGGATGACACTGTTAGCTAAAAAGTCCAGTTAGTCTTCCATTCTCCCTCCCATCAGGGGGAAGAATTTCAACTTTTGTCTATTGTTTTTTGAAAAAATAATAATAACATGCAATAAATTGACGTCAATAAATTGCGGTTGTACATTCTGTTTCTTTCAAGGAAACACTGGCCACGCAGAAGTGGTCCGAGTGGTGTACCAGCCAGAGCACATCAGCTTCGAGGAACTGCTCAAGGTCTTCTGGGAGAATCACGACCCGACCCAAGGTAGAGTGATGAGTGAGCCAGTATTTAATTATCTTACTAATTACAGCTGGGATAATTAGTGTTTGAGCTGCATGGAAGAGATGAACCTTGAAATCACACAGGAGCTCAAGAATATGATTGCAGACATTTATTGACGGGAAGAGGAGGGGCTGGGGAGAAAAAGGGTAAGAGAATAAAGGCGCAGCCACGTTCGGCGCCCCTCCCCCCTTACAGCTGTCAGGGGTGGGAAAATTCCCACAGAGAAAGATGCCAGACAATAGAGATCCGTTCACCTTTGATTATTGCATTATTCCTCCTTAATGCAGTCTTTTGTCTACAAAATTAAAGTGTCTTTCCAGCAGCTCCAAAGTTTTCCTGATTTATGGTTCTTTTATTTCCTTGAGTTTAGCCTTTCTTGTCTTTTGACATTATCAGGTTTTTGTTTTTTTTTTTTTTTTTTAGTGTCTGTGAATAATTTAAAAAAAAGGTAAAATGCAATATTCAGTAGGTCCACAAAACTTGGTCATTTAAATATTTTATTTGTCTTCTCTGGAATTTGCTATATGAAGATATTAATATATTTGGGCTATAAACAGTGTGGTCAGAGATTTTATTTGAGTGCATAGGCAAGCAAAAAGTCCCATGTTGGCAAATATCATTGTAGTATTCAATAATGAAGCAATTCCCAGATTGCATCCTGATAGCCTTACAAGCACTTCCTCGCTAGTGTGATAATCTGATATTATAAAGCTTATGAACTGGAAAGTCCTGTATAATAGGTGTGATTTTTTTAAAAAACTGTTCATTTAGCCATCAGTCCATTAAACAAAAATATTTTCCTTTAGTGTCAGGTTTTTGTGTATTGGGCATGCAATGTTGGCTGTTTCTTAGAGAATGGATGTGTCTTTTCAAATGTGTATTGTACTTTATGGTAGAATCTTTATTTGACCCTAGCCACACAGGTGGGTGGGTCCTGAGTGCTGGTTCTAAGAACCAACCAATGCCAGGATGGTTTGCCAGAGGGGAAAGGTCATAGCTAAGGCAGAATTTGATAAGCTTAAGGGTAAGGCAGGTTGGTCCAGATTCAAGGTAAATCTGTTGAAGAGAGTGAAGGCTAGAAGTCTGGGCTTTGGATGGAGGTTGGACTGAGATTTACATGGTAACCAAGTCTGGTTTGATGTGGGGAAATGGGTCCCTGGTGGGAGAGGGATGACGATGGGGCAAGGTAGGTAGAGGACTGGGACAAGAACACTACAAGCAGAAGGTTCAGTGTTACCCAGTTAGGACTACTGGACTGTTGTATATGAGAAAGGGAGGCCCGGGGGCTTAAACAGCCTTGGCTCAGCTGGACTCTGGTGAGCCTCAGAAATAGAGTAGTGACAGCCAGGAGCTCATGCTGGTAAGACTTTTTGATTTCAGATGGGGCAGACATTCAGCCTTTTTGACTGTCAAAGCCAAATGTCAGCACAGAATGCGGAGAGCCTCAGAATTAGCAGTGGAGACACGTCAGGAGCCCAGACAAAGCAGAGGGCATGTAGAAGACAGGCTCCCCTGCAGGTCCGGTCCGGAGGGTAAAAATCTGTCCTTTACTTCTTTCTCTTCTCTTAAATTCCTATCCATTTTATCTCATCTTTATCAGTGCACAGTTGGGTTGCTAGTATTGGCCCCTGAATCTTAGGGGGGAATTCTACCTTTAAAAACAAAACAAAACAAAACAAAAACTTAGAGGGGCCAGCCAGGTGGTGTGGTGGATAAGGCAGCTGAATCTCACATGACCAAGTGCATGGTTCAAGTCTTGAACTTAGCAGCTTGGAAAATATGCTGGGCATGTATACATGTATACCCAACATCCTGAGAGGAGAAGGAAGTGTGGTGTGGTCATCCCCCCAGGGTAGTTGTGAGGGAGGATGATTTCTCACTTTCCCTGTCTCTCTTTCTCTCTCTTTCTGTATTTCTCTGATGAGCACACACACACCTCATAGCAATAACTAATAATAATAATAATAATAAAATATTAAAATAAAAACCTTAGAGGTCAGGATGGTTGTGTAGCAGTAATATGCAATTCTCTGGGAGGCTAACTCACATGGGAAGGTTCTGGGTTCAAGTTTGGAGACCTCCCTGAGTTTGCTGGGCATGCACATGTTCTTCATCTGGCGCTGGCTAAGGCTGGGAGTGGATCGTGGCATCAGGACCCCATGGTGAGGGGGCTGTTCCTCTGTTTTGCTCTCTCTGTTACTCTCTAACTTGTGGTATAAACTTAAAAAACAAAAACATAAAAAACAATTTAAAAGATCTCTTGTTCTCCCCTACCTTGTCTCAAGTTTGCCTCATCTATGACTCAGTTCTCACACAGCTGCTTCTTTGAAATTCTTATTTACTGTCTGTATTTGTTTGCTAGGGTTGCCATAAATGAAGTATATCACAGACTAGTTGTCTTACACAACAGATGTTCATGTTCTTACATTTCTGAGCCTGGAAATCCAAGAACAACTGTCTATATGGCTGATTTCTTCTGAGGCCTCTGTCCTTGGCCTGTAGACGGCTGTCTTCTCCCTATGTTTTTATGTGGTCTTGCCTCTGTATCTGAGTTTGCCAAATTTCCTCTTTTTATAAGGCATCGTTACATCAGACTGGAGTCCACTGAAGTGCTCTCATTTTACTTTAAGTACTTTAAAAATCTTATCAAAATTCAAATACAGTTATATTCTGTGGTGTCGGTGATTAGGACTTCAACATACGAATTTGTGGGGCAGGGCATAATCGAACCCATAACACAGTTCAGTGATGTAATAACTTACTCTGCTATTTTCCAGAGGTATTTCGAGTCTAACAGGGCATTCATAGACAAGGAGGTTAGCTTCATCTGGCTGAATGTCACAGAATAGAGCCTTTCAGCGTCAATGCTATAAGCTAAAAGATGAAATGGTTAATAGTGGAGTTTGTAGACAATGGAGTTTTGATTATTGAATGAAATATTTTTCCACTGATATTTTGAGGGAATTAAACATATAGGAGGGGAATTTTTCTACCATTGCATATGTTAATTCCTATTTAAAATAGTGCTTGATGTAGCATATACAGTTGCAAACATTAAATCACAAGATAAATGGTCTGCTCACATTATTATTAGAATTACTTTTTTGGAGAGCTCAGTGTAATAGACTAGAAAACTACCTGTTTTTGCCTTATGAGGTTTTCTATTACCCTTTAGGGATAGGCCCTACTTTACTGGCCTAAGGGGTGGTACATGATGTAGACCTGACCAATCACACTAGCTTGGTCTGTTTTCAGCAGTGTTTGACCCAAGGAATGTGACATAAGCGGGGCCAACAAGTGTCCTATCCTGGGCCTATTATATGAGAGGAAAGATGTTCTCCTTTTGCTGGGGATGCCAAGGTAGCAATGCTCTGTATGTGGAAAGAGCCTGCCTATAGGAGAAGCCAGGGAGGAAATGAGCAGAGACTGAGATATGAGAGACAAGAAGAGAGACCTTCCATGGGACTCTAAAGTCCTGAGACCTCTCACACCTATAACTCATCCTTTAATTCTGGGACCTGTCCTGGGAGCCTTCTAAGCTATGAGAGCTACTGTGGACGTCCCCATTTGTTTTTCTTAAGCTAGTTTGTTGAGTTTCTATTACCTATAACAACAATAACAGAAATCTTGGTCCCCTCATTCAACATAAATGATCATTGCTCTTTATATTTAGTAACTAAGTTCATTTGGTTTTATAAATCAGAGGTCTGAAATAATTTGGTTAATACCATTGACTCAGATGTGCAGTGGAAGACACTAAAAATCATTTCTTCAAGACTTACTGGTGGTTTGCTTAGGGGTTTCCTTGGTAATTTAGAATTAAAAACTAGGGTTTAGGATTTGGGATACATGGTCTGGAAATATATCAGGATCCCTCTCAGTATCCCTAATGTACTAATAACAGTAATCATTAACTAATGACATTTACCTTTCATTTCCTATGCTAGACACTCTGCTCAGTGGTGCTAAGTCCTCAAGTGGTATGGAGGAATATCCAGTCTCTCAGTAAATACACAGGGAAAATATATTTCTCTAGGAAGAAGAGTTAAGTTCCAATGTACCAAGATCAAATGAGCATACAAGACCACATAAATGCATATTAGACCACAGACCAAAATATTAAAAGACATCATTAGAAACAATGATGTGTTAATTATGGAACATTAAAAACAAAAAAAAAAGGACATTCGGAAGAACTCTGGTACCAACGGATTGAATATTTCCAGAGAACCCTGAAGGTCCAAAACATATAGGCATGTGTAACATTTCTTTTTTTTTTTTTTTAATTTCCATACTTGTATTTTTTATTTTATTATTATTTTATACATTCAATCTCTATATTTCATTTAACTTGTAGAGAGAATTTACCCAACATGAAATACACCTCAGACAAGTCCAGTTGAGAATACTGTACGTGTCATCATCAACAGGAAATAACCCATTTCTGTGTCCCACAAATGTCTTAGTCTCTATTTTTCTGCCTAATTTCATTCCCTACCCTCTTTCTCTCTTCCACCCTTCCTTCCACACTGTCTCCAGTGTCCATAACTATTCAGTCTCTACCACAGAGTACAGTCAGTCAGTAACTGTATGTTAAGTGGAAATATACAATGTCTTTCTTTCAGTCATGTATACTTTTTCTGAGGTCAGAATTTGAAGCCTGCTCCCTGTAGGATGGGCATGAAGTAGGGAGGAACCAGGCTGCTAGTGAACTTGACTGCAGACCACACACCACAGTGTACCACAACCTGTAAATTCTGCATTTGGAGTCACATGGCAACCCTGGTTCCCTTTGCCAATGAAAAGTGTCCCTAAAAAGAAAGCCACAGTTGAGTAAATGAGGGGAGTGAAGGCGGTTCTTACTCAGAATAGGGACATTTCAGAAGAGATCAGTGTGCTGGACTTGGTGGTGGCTTTCATCTCCAAAGCAACACCCGTCTCTGGTTTCTCCTTTTTAAGTTTCTTTCTTTCGTAAAAGTAAG